TTCATTTCAATTTTTTCTCTTAAAGCATTAACAAGGACCTTCTTGTTAAGTAGTAGCAAATATAATAGACATCCATGTTTTGTTACTAGTCTTAAAGGAAATACATTTACAATTTCTCCATTATATATGTTTACTTTGGGGTTTGGGTATGGAAATCTTTACCATGATAAAGAAATGCATTTTCAGCCAGGTGCGGTGGCTCACCCCTGCCTGTAATCCTAGCACTCTGGGAGGCCGAGGCGGGTGAATTGCTCAAGGTCAGGAGTTCAAAACCAGCCTGAGCAAGAGCGAGACCCCATCTCTACTATAAATAGAAAGAAATTAATTGACCAACTAATATATATATATATACACAAAAAATTAGCTGGGCATGGTGGCACATGCCTGTAGTCCCAGCTACTTGGGAGGCTGAGGCAGAAGGATTGCTTGAGCCCAGGAGATTGAAGTTGCTGTGAGCTAGGCTGATGCCACGGCACTCACTCTAGCCTGGGCAACAAAGTGAGACTCTGTCTCAAAAAAAAAGAGACAAAAGTAAAGTAAGTAAGAAATGCATTTTCATTTCTAATAAGAGGTTTGAGAAAAGTTGCCAGATAGTATATGAACTTTCATGAATAAATTGCATTTATCCACAAAAATAATAACCAACTATAATATGATGTTTTTAAATAATATGCAATTCAAAATAAATCTTAAAGTATTCAGGAATAAACATATAATGCCACTATGGAGAAAAATGTTAACTCTATTTAAGGACATTTTCAAAAATCAAAGTGGAGAGACATACTATATTCTTGGATGAGATGTCTTCATATTACAGAGTTCAATTATCTTCAAATAAATCTATAAAGTTTACACAATTATAATCAAAATTGTAGCTGGAGTTTTTGAGGACTTAGATAAATTTATTCAAAATCTGTTTATGGAAGATTAAATGTCTACATGTAATCGGTCAACCTTGTAAAAGGAGGGCAAATAAGTTGACTTACTGGACCAGATGTTAAGACATTAAAAGGCTGTCGGTAGAAAAAAAGTAAGTCACAGGAAAAAGAAAGCCAAATACTTAAGCAGTGTATGAGAAGAAGCTCTAACCCATTAGTAATCAAAGACATGAAATGAAAATGACAATGAGAAATCATATTTTACTGACCATATAAGTAAAAGTAACAAAGCTGTATAATACCAAGTGTTAGAGATGTGGGGCAAATGGGTTTTTAAACAGTGCCAGAGGGATTATAAACTGATGCAGTTCCTGAGAGCCATCTGGAAGGACTTAAATAGAATGAATGCATACCCTGGAACCAGCAATCCCAGTCTCATCTGTATCATACATAGGTCTATAAAAGGACATTCATGAGGCTATCCATCATGGACTCCTTCATACCAGCAGAGTTCTGAAGGCAACCTAGGTACCCACCCAACATGGAGGGAACAGGTAGGTAAATGAGATGTGGGAACAACACAGAGGACTGAGCATCAGTCAAAAGCCACAGACTAGGCATACTTTTGGAGACATAGTAGATACTTAAAACATGATGCTGCCTGAAAAAGCAAGAAACAGAATGAGGTCTCTAGCATAATATGGTCTATATAAATTAATAACTCAAACACAAAAAACAAGACCACATGCTTCAAAGGGGTACATAAAAATAAAACAAGGGCAGATTAGCTATGGAGAAAGATGGGGGAAGGGTCATAGACATCAAAAGAAAGAAAGGAAGAAAAAATAGAAGAGAAGGAAGAAAGGAGAGAGAGAGGCAGGAAGGAAGGATGAAAGAAAGAAGGAAAAAAGGAAGTAAGGGAGGGAAGAGGGAAGGAGGAAGGGAACGAAATCCATAAATAAAACAGAAGCCTTTATGGACCAGTAATAATAGTGTACCTTGAATAGACTTTAATTCACCCAACCTTCTCTGCCCAGAGATGGTGAGAAAAAAAATCTAATATTTAATATTTTAAAAGATGCTGTCTATATGGGTCAAACAAACCATATATTCAGACTGATAGGATGCCTGTTTGAGACCTCTAACATATAAGCCTCTGAGATTGACATTCAAGACTCTCCTTGATCTAATCCTTCTTTACATTTTTCCCCACCTACCTAATTACTGATGCCAAACCATGCAGTTTCTTATAAACTCATTTTGTACCTACTACATTCTCAGCTACTCAAACCTATTCCCCCTAATCTCCTCCCCTAAATCACACCATTCATCTTTTGTGACTCAGTTCTAATGTCCTGAGTTCCACCATATTGAGTATATGTCTACCACAGCTATTGCCTCATGTTACCAAAATTATCTCCTATGTCTCTTTCTCTTCTAGAAAGTCCTCAAGAGCAAGACCATGGCTTAGGAAGTTTCTACTTGTGCCCCATGTAGCAGTAGTCTACACTGCTACAAAACTAGTCCAAGCAACTCTCTCTTCTCATCCTCCAATACTGCCCAAAGTGTGCAATAGACCAGTGCAGGCCTGATCTTTAAAAAATAAAAATCTAACTTCTCTACCCTAGCACCAGACATGTGATTTGTGGGATCAAGTGGAAAATTAAAATGTGGGGCTGTTTTTCAAAAATCATTAAGAATTTCAACATGGCAACATCAGAGCATTAAACCAAGCATGGGACTCTTCTGAGCATGGAGTCCTTTGTGACTGCACTAGCCACACATATAAGAAGCCAACCCTAATCCTCCTTAATATCTTTCAGTGAGTCCTCACAACTAAATCAACTCCCAAAGTCCCTAACATGGCCGGTGAGGTGTGACATAAAATGACCTCTACCCACCTCTCAAAGCTTATCTCACTTAGGTGTTGATCAGTTAATACCAGTTTGCTGGTGAGTACATGTGGTACTTATTTTTCCATTCTTGCGATACTTCACTTAGTGGAATGGGTTCCAGCTCTAGCCAGAAAAATACAAGAGGTGCTATATCACCATTATTTCTTATAGCTGAATAGTACTCCATGGTATACATATACCACATTTTATTAATCCACTCATGTATTGATGGGCACTTCGGTTGTTTCCACATCTTTGCAATTGTGAATTGTGCTGCTATAAACATTTGAGTGCGGGTGTCTTAACTGATCACCACCTAAGTGGACATATAGGAATAACATTTATCGGGCGTCGGGCAGGTGGGAGCGGGGAGGAGGGGATAGGTATATACATACATAATAAGTGTGATGTGCACCATTTGGGGAATGGACATGCTTGAAGCCCTGACTCCGGGTGGGGGAGGGGGGAAGGGGAGGAAAGACAGCACACGTAACCTAAACATTTGTACCCCCATAATATGCTGAAATAATAATTTAAAAAGCTTATCTCACATTCTCCCTAGCCCTCCAGAAGCAGTGGCTTCTTCCAGTTCTAATGTCCTGAGTTCCACCATATTGAGTGGTCCTGGCTTCTTCTTCCAGGTCCTGGGCCATTCCACAACCTCCTCACTCAGGTCTGCCACACTCTTCTGTCAACTCATTCCTCCTCATTCCTCAAGACTCAGCTTAAATGTCTTCCCTGACTGACCCTCCCACCCTGCCTAATATTATAGTATTTTACATATTAATGTCATATTCTGTTACACTTTCTCACAGTACCCTCCATGTTTCCACCAGAGAATTTATCACCATTTGCAATTGTACAGCAAATTTGTTAAATATCTTCCACCCCTCTCCCACAACTTAACTGTGATTTTTTTCATGGAAATAAGACCTTGTCTATTTTTTCTCTTCTCTGTTGTTGCCCCAGCACCAAGCACGATGCCTGGCACAGCAGAGATACTCAAGGTATAATTTTTGATGAATGACTAGATCTTCCATTGCTGCTATAGTATCTTCCACTTTATAGGATTAAATAAATATTTGCTAAGCTATTTATTGGTAAAATGAAAAGGCCTACAATAAATGGCAATTTCATGGGAAATTTTAAATATTGCATATGTGTTTTAAAGAAACATTTCCTTAATTATACAAACATTAAGATGACGTTATTGAGAATGAGGGCAATGGCATCTGGATTTTTGAATGAGATATGAATTTTGAAATAAAGATTCTAAGTCCCTAGTTTATCCTAAGTTGTCTTCTAACTATAATTTCTAGTCCTTATCACCCATTCATAGTCATGTGACAGAACCCTGATTAGCCCTGAATTTCTGCTGAGGAGATTTGATAAAATGGGAGACAGAAAAATAAAGCCTCATCTAAGTGTAATTGTAGGGTTTTGTTTTGTTGTTTTTGTTCCAGAGCCTGATTATATCAATTATTCAAAGCCAATAGCCATCCTCCTATAATTAGACCAATATTATAAACACCACCATTCTCCTTATGTTATATTCAACTTCTCTATATGAAACCCTCCTTTCTTCTTGATTATTTTAAAAGTCCCAGACTGGCAAAACAAAACAAAAATAGATGTGAAGAATCTATTTGGTATTACTTAGGCAGGAATGATAACCAAGTTTATTTTATTTTTGTACTGGTTTTAATGGCATTAATACACCACATATTCTAATGCTAGGGGCTCCATTAACCCCACAAAATAGTAAGTAAATTTTTAGGTAATCAGGCTTGGAACTTTCATGAGAGTCTCTAAGAGGTTACACTCAAAAAGGCTTAAGAGTCCTGATATCATTACATCTGGAAGGAAGGAAGGAAGGAAGGAAGGAAGGAAGGAAGGAAGGAAGGAAGGAAGGGAGGAAGGAAGGAAAAGAAGAGTTGAGTTTTAAATAATTCTTATATAAGCTAAATGAGCGTTCAAAGCAGAATCTAGGCCAGTACTTAGGCTGTCAGATCAGAACTTTCCTGAAGGCACTGGTATGACACAGGCACCCTGCATCCAAACTAAAGCACTTCAGCAATGCAAAAAAAAAAAATTATCTTAGCAATCATAATAATCATTTTCATTTCATTGAAAGAAGGGGGAAAAAAAGAAGGAAGAAAAAGAGAAAGTTTGTCAGATTTTGTTGTTATGAAGTAGGATGACGCTTAAACACATTCCCAAAGCCTACCTTCTGGGTACCAACGCTGTGTGAGAGCAGGCCATTCTTTCTCTTCATGGCAAAAGGATTTGTAATCAGGACAGCAATCAGAATTTTCCCTTTCACAGAATTTATCACAGTAACACAATGCATTCGCCTCATAGAACTGAGTGACACAGCCATCATCTCTGTCTTCACAACAACCAAAATTTCTACAGTATTGCCCTTGGTAAATGGCTCTTTTGAATCGAGTACCTTCCAAAATGGTGTGATTCCTAGCGAAATAAGCTCCTAGGTCAACTTCTCTTTGGGAGAAATACTGCTTCTCCATCCAAATTTCTGTAGTAAAGTAAGATAAGATCAAGATCTTATATCCGGTCCACATTCTCTGGATGTCAGGTACAGCTCCCACCTTCTGTTATATCCAATACCCGTGGCCTTGGGCCCTTCTCCTTGGAGCTTGAATTCTAATCATCAAAACACCTCAGTCTGAACTCTGAAACTGATCTTTTACTTGAACTGAGTATATGTCTTCTAGTTAAACATTAATCAAGAATTTCAATGTCTGCCCAAGATAAGTGTTAGAAATAGATTATCATTATTTCTCCAGAGTTAAAAATGTATAATATTTCATATAAAGCAAAAACCTTGCATCATCAAAATATCTGCATAAAATCTTATACACAGAGAATCGTTGAATATTGCTTGTCCCTTAAAAAAAAAAAATCTAGATTCTTAAATCAAAAACCTCCCTGGAATATACATGGCCAAAATTATGGCTGTAATAACTACTGGCAAGGTGCAGGAAATTTCAAAGTCAGAAATGCAATTATTCATTTCACCTATTTCCACTGCAACTAAAATCCAGGCTCTCATAAGTCTGCCTCCTAGGATCTGTCATATCAATAACAGTTGCTCTAAATCATGCCTGGTCACACACGGGCTTGATTTCCCATCTGTGCTCCATTTACCTACCAGAAGCATCTTGATTTTAAGGTTTAGTGGAGCCTAATTCAGCTGGAAATTCCCTGAGGGTGACCTTAGTTCCCTCCACCTTAGTCCCTACTTAGCATCAATGTGGAAACTTTCATTGGGAAGGCAGCTAACAAGAGCGGTGGGGGGAGGGAGTTGTGAAGGAATCTCAAAGGTCAAGATGTCTTTAGAGTTTCAGTGGAGCTGTGCATTTACAGTGGGCTTTGCTATACTGTGTTTATTCATTAACTGCAATAACTCCCTTTGGATTAAGGATAAGTAGCCAGCAGACGATGATTCAGCAAGAGTGGCTTAGTGGGCTAGTGGAAAAGACTTATCTTGGCACTCAGAAAACCTGGACTCTGGTCCCTAAGCTACTGTTTAATTGCCTCTGTGACCTCAAGGTCACCATTTACTTCTCTGATCCTCAGTTATTTTTTTATAAAATGAGGGTCTTCGTCTCCAAGGCTATCTCATCATTCTGACCCTTCAGCTTGCAAGGTTCGCCGACCTTGCTTCATATTCTATTCAACTCACACATTTATATCTTCATCGTGTCACTTTCTTCTGGCATCTTCCTCTTGAGCTGCAAACCAGTGTTAGTATCTCTCTCTTTTTTAAATTCTATGTCATCTTTGTGTCACTATTCATAATTCCCTTGTCTCTTCAATCCAACACCTACCAGTCCCACTTCTATGCTATCTAATGAGTCCCTAAACTTCTGCAAAGTACTGTCTACATTCCCACCTGCTTATGCCAATGACCTCCTAGCATCCAATTCCATGGACCTGTGTCCATCCTTGTCACACATGCATCTTTTGCAGCATTCAGAGAGGGTAGATTTTAAGAGTGCTCACTGAAAAGGAAAGAAAGAAAGGAAGACATAAAGAGATAACGTAATAGAGGGATACAGAAGAGAAAATGGAAACTATGTGAGGTGATCTATATGTTCATGAGCTTGATTGTGGTGATTATTTCACAATGTATATGTACATCAAAACACCAAGTTGTATACTTTAAGTATATACAATATGTCTTCTATGCTTTCATTCTCTCCTGATTCTTGTCCCATTCTTCATACTGTCCCTAATTTATCTGCTCAGTTCTGGACTCACTTCCTTCCCTGCTCAATCAAGGATCATTTGAAATATGTTTTCACTAACTTTTTCAACCCTTTCCTCTGCCCAGTTCTCATACCTTATCTTACCTCAAACTTCCAACCCTGAGTCAACATAAAAGCCATGGGCTATAAGACCCTATCCAAGGACCCCCAATCTGGCTATCTCTCTGAACTTAACTTATACCATTTTACCCCATGCTTACATTGGTCTGGTCATCACACAAGGTTTCTTGCCATTCCTCAGACACGTCTTAACGACCTTCACACTTACTGTCCCATCTGCCTGGGACATCCTTTCCCAAGTATCCCACATGGCTTCATCTCTTTCTTGTCTTTTCTTCCAAATGACATCTTCTCAGAGAGGTCTTTCATACAGTCTCTATCTGAAATGAAAACTCTTCTTCTGTCCTAGAACTCCTTATTTTCATTCTTTGTACTTATCACTAATGTACTATAATTTTATTCATTGGCCTTGTGTATTTTCTGCATTTCCCCTCCAGAATGTAAGCTCTATAAGATCAGAGAATTTTTTCTATTCTGTTCATTTTTTTATCTCCAGCTCCTAGAACAGTGCATGAGCTGGAGATAAAGCATAATAGGCTCTCAATAGATATTTATTCAATAAATGAATCAATCCTACAACTTTCGTTTTTAACCTTGTACCTTCTCTACCTGAGTACTAACTGGAAATGATGTACTACGCCATACGATTGGTGCTGCCACGAATTTTGGATTTTTTGTCTTAGGTGATCTCTTAAATGTTGCTCATATTTCTTTGTCTTTGCTTTCCCTTAGTGACTATTACAAATCTCTTTGCTTTTCTAACTCACTTCCTTGCTTTCTAGAAATGAACTTCTCCCAGAGGTTGCCAAGAAAACAAAGATAGCAAATGTTAATCTCGCACTCTCCTGTCATTAAAGTCATAAAAATATCTACATTTGCAGCCATCTTTTCAAATTCCTTCCAGACTCATAAGATAAGGTCTCATCCTGTTCTCAGATAATTCTTTCATTTATGATTTTCTTATTTTCCTTACTTCTTAATTCCTATAAATCTTCGGCCTCTCTCTCTCATCCATTTCCTTCAGTTCATTAGTAGGATTTCAGCAGAGACTGTCCTCCCCCCACACCCACATTCCCACCATCCTTACTATTGTGATACAAATGGCTGGAACTCAAACTATGTGAAGTATTTACTGACCAGAGCTGACTTTTTCCCACCTCTCTACCCACAGCATAATAAGCCAGAGAAGTGTTGAAGAATTAGCACCCTCCCCCAGCCCAGGAGCAGACTTTATTTTATTTATTTTTAATAGACAATTAAATATTGTATAATTTATGCCATACAACTTGGTGTTTTGAAGTATGTATACATTATGAAATTGCTTTCAAGTACGTGATACAGTTGTCCCTTGGTATCCATGGAGAATTGGTTCTAGGACCCACTGCAGATACCCAAATCTGTGGATGTTCAAGTCTCTCATATAAAATGGTACGATGTTTGCATAATAACCTACCACACATCCTCTTGTATACTTTAAATGATTTCTAGATTATTTATAATACCCAACATAAATATTACATAAATAGTTGTTATGCTGTATTGTTTTTATTTGTATTATTGCTGTATTGTTATTTTTATTGGGTTTTTTTCCAAATATTTTCAATCCAAGGTTGAATCCATGGATGAAAACCAATGGATATGATATGTTGTTATTAATTATAGTCTCCATAACGTACAATAGATCTGTTGAACTTATTCTTCCTGTCAAACTGAAATTTTTCATCCTATGACAAACATCTCTCTAATACCCCCATTCCCCAGATCCTGATAACCACCATTCTACTTTCTCCTTCTATAGTTCAGTTATTTTAGATTCTACTTATGAGGTCATGAAGTATTTGTCTTTCTCTGCCTGGCTTATCTCATTTAACATAATGTCCTCCAGGTTCATCCGTGTTGTTGCAAATGACAGGATTTTCCTCTTTTTCAAGGCTACAGTGTGTAAAAAACATATTTTTTAATCCACTCATCCATCAACAGGCTCTTAGATTTATTCCATATCTTGCCTTTTATGAATAATGCTACAATAAACATGTGAGTGCAGACATCTCTTCAACATACTGATTTCATATCCTTTGGATATATATAAAGCATTAGGATTGCTGAATCATATGGTAGTTCTGTCTTTAACTTTTTGAGGACCCTCCACACTAATTTTTATAATGGCTGTACATTCCCACCAACAGTGTAAAGTTCCATTTTCTCCAGATCTCCCCAGCACTTATCTTTTGTCCTTTTGATAATAGCCATTCTAACAATAGTGAGGTGATAGTATATTATATTTTTAATTTGAATTTCCTTGATGATTAGTAATGTTGAACATTCTTTCATATATCTGTTGGCCATTTGGGTGTCTTTTCTTTTGACGAATGTCATTTTCACAAACAGAGACAGACAGAGAGAGAGGAGAACAGGAAGTTGAGCTTGCTGAAAACACTTAATTTAGCTGATTGGCTTAAATTCTCTAGCTAAAGATTTAATATTTTGAATTATGGAGTCTGCAAACATCTTCTTTGGTAGTAAATATTCTTTGGTGAGATAACTTAAGTAATATCAACTCATCTTTGAGGGTTGGGTCTGGATCCCTTCATCTTGACCAGAGATTTAGGATGATCTTGTGAGGTGAAAAGAAGGACCAGTGGGGATGGCAAGGAAGGGGTAGGGAGAAACTTGCTGAAAAACCAGCATGTTTTCCTCACACATCAGGCCATCAGTTAATTATTTGAAGCTACCTTCTTCTATTTCTATTCCACTGAGTTCATTCAAATTTTATAATAAGGAATTTCAATAAAATAAAGAAAATGTTCTGACAATAGGATGCATTTGTCTTTGGATTAAGCTGCTGAAAGAGACTGGAGGATTTTACACATAATTACCATATTCACCATATAAACATGTATATGTGTATATCCTATACAATGTATATTTGTGTGTGCGCGCATGTGTGTATAATCATATACGCTCCTTGCAATAGTCTGTGATGGCAGAGAGTATAACTATTATCCCTCTTTTAGATATCAGAGATGAAGGACTGAGGCTCCAGTGACTGAGCAAGGTGACACGGCCAGTGAGGACTGTTGGACACCAAGCTCAGTGAGCACTTTCCTGGCTCATCCTGCTTTCTGTCTACATATTCACCTGGCCCTTCTGTCTGAAGTTGGGACTCAGCCCATGATATTATTTGGAAAATCTTTCCAGCTCCTTTTCCAACTGAGGGAATCCTGAGAGGGAGAGAGTATGGGAAGAGATCTGGGAGGTGGGGATAGAAATACAGGGAAGAATCATGGGGTTTTCCACTGATTGGTTGTATATTATAAAATCACTCAAGTGAAACACCACTCTTCTATGGAAGTTTACCAATTCATGTAGATTTGT